GATGATGAATTTAACACAATAATACATGAAATGCCACAACCAACCCCATTATTTTGTATGCTTTAAATGAATAAAAGACCAACATTGTAAAGAATGCAGATGAAGCAAAGATACTGAGAATAATTACCAGCTCCATCGGACAGCAGAAAAACCAAGGGCAACAACATCGACATCACTTCCTTTTTCAAGGTCAGCTGATACACACTGCTCTCACTGACACTACATCATCCATCCTGTGCAAGATTAGTGCATGCTGCCATTATGCACCCTGTGGAGTCCTCAGAGGGACAGGACTTCAAGAAAGTACCTGGGAGGGGTGTCATGTGCGCCTTTGCTGCACTTCTGCAACCTTTAGTCCTTTTGGAATCACTGAGGCACATCAGCACGAGTGAGTTTTGTGATGAGTACAGCCTGAATGATGCAAGGAGAACATCAATCATTCTTTATGTGAGACTCCAATTTTCGGAAATAGAAGCTGAAAAACGAGGTCACAGTGAGGAAGAAGACCTGCTTTTATTTATTTATTTTTCCCACAGAAGCAGCTCACACGGGGTTTCCGGAGAGAGCTCCATGGTACGTGGGGAGGGGCCTTCATTACATGGGAAGATGTGTGATCTCTGGAAAGGGCCAACTAAATACGTATTTAGGGGTAACTTTTTAATTTCATTTCTTTTTACAATTTATTCATTATATATCCTGATTGAAGCCTCCTCCCTCAACTCCTCCCAGTCCCACCCTCACTCCCTCTCTTCCCCATCCCCTTCCTCTTGTCCACTGAAAAGGGAAGTTCTCCTCCTCTGCCATCTGCCCATAGCTTACCAAATCTCATCAGGACTGCCTGGATCCTTTTATTCGGTGGCCTGGTAAGGCTGCATCGACATTAGTGGTGGGAGTGCAAACTTGGACAACCACTTTGGAAATCAATCTGGTACTTTCTCACAAAATTGGGAATAACACTACCTCAAGATCCAGCTATACTGCTCCAGGGCATATACCCAAAAGATGCCCCACCATTCAATAAGGATATTTGCTCAACTATGTTCAGAGCAGCTTTTTTTTATAACAGCCAGAATCTGGAAACAATTTAGATGTCCCTCAGTTGGGGGATGGATATAGAGATTATTGTAAGTTTACATAATGGAATATTACTCAGCTATTAAAAACAAGGAAAGCATGAAATTTGCAGGCAAATGGATGGAACTAGAAAGGATCATCTTGAGTGAGGTATCCCAGAAGCAGAAAGATACACATAATATACACTTACTTATAAGTGGATAATATATCTGTATAATATAAGATAGCCATACTAAAATCTACAGACCTAAAGAAGCCAAACATTAGGGCTCATATTTTTTAAAAATTATTTATTACAATTTATTCACATTATATCCCAGCTTTAAACCCCTCCCTCACCCTCTTCAAGTCCTACCTTCCCTCCCTCTTCTCCTCCCATGCCCCTTTTCCAGTCAATAGATAAGGAAGGTCCTCCTCCTCTTCGACCTGACCCTAGCCTATCAAGTCTCATCAGGACTGGCTGCATCATCTTCCTCTGTGGCCTGGCAAAGCTGCTACCCCCTTTGGGGGGATGTCAAAGAGCCAGCCACTGAGTTCATGTCAGAGACAGTCCCTGTGCCCATTACTGGGGAACCCACTTGGACACTGATCTGGCATGGGCTACATCTGTACAGGGGTTCTAGATTATCTCCATGCAGCGTCCTTGGTTGGAGTATCAGTCTCAGAAAATACCCCTGGGCCCAGATTTTTTTTGTTCTTTTGCTCTTCTTGTGGAGCTCCTGTCTCCCCTCAGGTCTTTCTATCTCCCCCTTCTTTCCTAAGATTCCCTACACTCTGCCCAAAGTTTGGCTATGAGTCTCAGCATCTACCCTACTGGGTAGAGCCTTTCAGAGGGCCTCTGTGGTAGGCTCCTGTCCTGTTCCTTGTTTTCTCCCTCTTCTGATGTCTATCCTGTTTGCCTTTCTGAATTAGGATTGAGTATCTCCCCCAGGGTCCTCCTACTTGCTTAGCTTCTTTTGGACTGTAAATTTTAGTATGTTTGTCCTATATTATATATCTAATATATATATTATACTTAATATCCGCTTATAAGTCTATATATACCATGTATGTCTTTCTGCTTCTGGGATACATCATTCAAGATGATCTTTTCTAGTTCTATACATTTGCCTGAAAATTTCACGATTTCCTCATTTTTAATAGCTGAGTAGTATTCCATTGTGTAAATATACCACAATTTCTGTATCCATTCCTCAGTTGAGGGACATCTGGGTTGTTTTCAGATTCTGGCTATTACGAATAAAGCTGCTATGAGCATGGTTGAACAAATAGAGAATTCTCAATAGAGGAATAATGAATTGCAGAGAAACAGTTAAAGACATGCTTCAAGTCTTTAGTCATCAGGAAAATGCAAATAAAAAAGACCCTGAGATTTCACCTTACACCCACCAGAATGGCTAAGATAAAAACTCAAGTGGCAAAACATGCTGGAGAGGATGTGGAGAAAGGAGAACCCTCCTCCATTGCTGTTGGGAATACAAACTTGTACAACCACTTTGGAAATCAACCTGACACTTTGTCAGACAATTAGGAATAGTGTTTCCTTAACATCCAGCTGTACCTCTCCTAGGCATATATCCAAAATATGCTCAAGGATACAAGTAGGACATTTGTTCAACCATGTTCCTAGCAGCTTCATTTGTAATTGCTCTCATTTTTAAAAGTGATTCGGAATTGGTTTTAAGAATTAATAATTTGATGGGAATTGCATTGAATCTGTAGATTGCTTTTGGTAAGATGGCCATTTTTACTATATTAATCCTGCCAAGCCATGAGCATGGGAGATCTTTCCATCTTCTGATATCTTCTTCTAATTCTTTCTTCAGAGACTTGAAATTTTTTTCATACAAGTCTTTGACTTGCTTGGTTAGGGTTACACCAAGGTACTTTATGTCATTTGTGGCTCTTATGAAGGGTGTTGTTTCCCTAATTTCTTTCTCAGCCCTTTTGTCTTTTGTATACAGGAGGAGTATTGTTTTTTGGGTTTTTTTGGGGGGATTTTTTTTGGTGTTTTTTTTTTTAGTTAATTTTGTTAAAGGTATTTATCAGCTGTAAGTGTTCTTTGGTAGAGTTTTTGGGGTTTCTCATGTATACTATCATATCATCTGCAAATAGTGAGACTTTGACTTCTTCCTTTCCAAACTGAATCCCCTCGATCTCCTTTAATTGTCTTATTGCTCTAGCAAGGACTTCAAGAACTATGTTGAAGAGATATAGAGAGAGTGGAAAGCCTTGCCTTGTTCCTGATTTCAGTGATATTGATTTAAGTTTCTCTCCATTGAGTTTGATATTGGCTATAGGCCTGCTGTATGTTGCCTTTATTATGTCTGGGTATGTGCCTTGTATCCCTGATCTCTCCAATACTTTAAACATGAATGGGTGTTGGATTTTGTCAAATGCTTTTTCAGCATCTAAGGAGATGATCATGTGGTTTTTTTTCATTCAGATTGTTTATATGGTGGATCACATTGATGGATTTCCATATATTGAACCACCTCTGCATGCCTGGGATGAAGCCTTCTTGGTCATAGTGGATATCATTGATGTGTTCTTGTATTCAGTTTGCAAGTACTTTGTTGAGTATTTTTGCATCAATGTTCCTAAGGGAGTTTGGCCTGAAATTCTCTTTCTTTATTAGACATATAATATAGGATAAATCTACTAAAATCTGTACACCTAAAGAAACTAATGAAGAAGAAGGACTCTGGCTAAATGCTCAAACACCATACAGAAAGGCAAAGAGGATGGAGGTCAGAAAGAGAAGAGAGGGAAAAGTACAGGAGCCTGCCACAGAGGGCCTCTGAAAAGCTCTTCCTTGCAGGGTATCAAAGCAGATGCTGTGACTTATGGCCAACCTTCGGGCAGAGTAAAGGGAATTTCATGAAAGAAGTAGGAAAAAAATAAGACCTGGAGAGGACAGAAGCTCCACAAGGAGAGCAACAGAACAAAAAAATCTGGGCACAGGGGTCTTTTCTGAGACTGATAACCCAACCAAGGACCATTGATGGAGATAAACTAGAACCCCTGCACAGACTTAGCCCATGGCAGTTCAGTGTCCAAATGGGTTCCATAGTAATGGGAACAGGGACTGTCTCTGACATGAACTGATTGGCCTGCTCTTTGATCACCTCCCCCTGAGGGGGAGCAACCTTACCAGGCCACAGAGGATGGCAATGCAGCCACTCCTGATGAAACCTGATAGACTAGGATCAGAGGGAAGGAGAAGAAGACCTCCCCTATCAGCGGACTTGAGGAGGGTCATGTGTGGAGGAGGGGGAGGGAGGGTGAAATTGGGAGGGAATGAGGGAGGGGACCATGGGGGGGGACACAAAGTGAATAAAGTGTAATTAATAAAAAAAAGAAAAATAAAAAAGAATTAATAAACTGGTTATTTTCTGTCACTTTAAATTACTTATTTCAGTGTTTAGTTCACAAAGCTATGGACTGTTTTAACTTCTTTTTAGTATGCATGTGTTATGTATGCTCATGTGTATATGCATGTAAATGTGTATGATTGATGGTAGAGGGCCACAGTTGAAACTAGGTGTCTTCTCCGCTCATTCTCCGCATGATCCTTGAGGCATGGTCTCTCCCTAAACACTGAGCTTATAGATTCTAGGTGGTCTAGCTAAGGAGCTTGTTCAGCATCTTCCCCAATTCTGTCCTCCATGTCTTGGGCTTCCAGGAAGCTGTCACACTTACCCAACATTTACATGAGTTCAGGGACTCTAAACCATGGTCATCCTTCTGCTGAGCCATCTCTCCATTTCGTTGGGGCTTATCTAGTTCACTTCAGTTTGTTCTATTATCCACATAGCCTAAGCAATTATCTTATTTGAACATTAAAGTTTGAGATTTTAATAGTATTTTTGACATACCTGTTAGATATTTAGAGTACTAAGACAAATGTGGCAAAACCTTTCTGCATGTCCTTAACATTACACTGTGCTGTTCTGTACTTATCCCTGACCTCTCCCACGGACTACCACCCATCAGAAGTGAACAGAATCATCTTCCTCAGCTACCCGAGTCGACGGCACAGCTGTTCTTTGGTTAACATACCTACACCATGCATCACCAAAATAATTTCCCACATTGAAGATGTGGAATCCAAAATACAGGAGCATTTGAAACAGGTAAGTGACTTATTTAACTTTTGGAGATAAATTCTACAAATATTGAGGTGTTTCATTTCAGGAGAATAGGAAATTATTTTGATAATTTCTAGAAAATTTGAAATTTTAGCTCAGATGATTAATTACTAGTCTAGACATGTTCTTTTGAGAGTCTCACTCCAGGGGGTGCAATGACCTCATTAAACAGATTTTTCCCTGTTTGTTTGTTCTTTAACATAAACAATCATGCTAAGCTGTCATTTTCATCGGCCAACATGACTAAAAATTAAATAGAATTCATATCCTAGAGTGGGGAGGCACTGAACTGATTAAACTATAAATAAATTTGTAGTCTAAAAGGTCAGTATGACCTTTAAATGAGTTTTCTTACTGCTTAATAAATACACTAAGTTTTTTGATGAAGATATAATGATTCTTTCTTGGTCACGTTAACCTGTCAAATTCTGCCTTTGTTATCCTAAGAAGAATTTCAGATTGAGCTCTCTGCAACTTGCAATCATTTTTATCTAGGAATGACTTAATGAAAAAAATCAAAAACTTCTACCTGTTACTAAGAAAGGATTCTAAAAACTAACTCACATGGTTAGGGCATGGGGTGGGAGCTTGCTACACCTCTGTCCTCTTTTTGTTCCTTTATATTCACCCCTGGATCTGACCTAGAGAATGTTCTGCTCTAGAAAGTCATTTCTTTTGAGAAGCATTAAAATCACAGGTTTTGAAGAGACATGTTGTGTGACCTTAGGTAGGTTTGAGGAAACTTGGCAGAGTGTGAGATCAAGTTCCAGAATAGGAAGGACCCCAGTGCACACACATGAGCTATTACTGTGAATAGTGATGTATATTATTATTGAATAATAACATTCAATATTGTTCTGTGGCAGTACCTATTTCACCTATACACCTCCAAATCAAAAACCCTTAGTACAGCTGCAGATCACATAGCAGGTGGGTCCCCGGCTGTGGAATCGTACATAAAGAAAAAGAACAGAATAGCATTTATTAATGGGGTGTGCTGCACATTTCATATACACTCTACTTCTTAATTATTCATATCATTTAGAACGGTAAAAACAGAGCTGTAGGTGCCTTGATAAACCATTATGATAGGCACTGTTTACGAAATCCTAATGTAAAGCACACCACCTATTTTGCTGTATTACGTCTCTTAGACACATAGAATTCCTGTGGAATGTTCCTGTGAAGTGAAACATGGTAAAACATAATTTAAAATAATTCAGCACCTTGTTCAACTGAAAAATTATTTGTTGTCTTCATGTGACAGAATACTAACCGAAAGGTACCCCCGGGAGGATTTACCGTTTGAGGGATGTACTTCGTGGCAGCACAGTAGGCAAGGCATCTGTCAGGGAGCACCACAGCATCAGGGGAGTGCAGCTAGGGCCACAGATTACTTCTTCACATCGTGGCGGAACAGGAAACAGAGACGCAGCAGGAAACATGGCTGGGCCTACTTTCTTCAAAGGGCTCTCATCTCCTAACAACCTCGTCAGCTGTAGATTCAAGTGCACTGAGCTTCTCAAGGATATTTTCAGTTCAAGCCATGGTGACCTTGGAAAGAAATATCTTCAGAGTGGATGTTTAGTTATGTTTCCCATATATTTTATTTCTCCACAGAGTAGGAACCATTATCAATGATAAAAAAGAAATCCCGGGTAACTTTCCATACAAGTAAATAATTATCTTTGCCTTCTACATTATGTCCTGGGTGCCTAAGCTACATCTTGCTTAATTTAGAGTGAACTCTACTGAGTGTAAATTTTTCTCTCTGCTTCATACAAATTATCAGGATGCTACCATGATTTTAGAACATATTATAAAAATATATATGAAATGCCTAAAATATTAAGATAATGCTGTTCAAAGACAAAAATAACATTTTTGTCAATAAACTGACAACAGCATAAGACTGTCCATATCTTTTTATTAGTCATTGTCTGTGATCTCATGAATACTTATCTGAACTTCCAAGGCAGAATCTCAAGTACAGATGAGAAAAATAACCTCAGAAGCCTATGTTCCTTAAGATCACACAGTGAGTCCAGAGTCAACCTGCAGGCCAGGTGTGCCTCGTGGCCGAGCCCGCCCTCTCCATACTTTTCACTGACATCAATCCCTGACAATCTGCCAATGGAGCGGTTACAAAGTGTGGATGTCAAAGTGCTCCCAATTCTAACTGGAAAATTGGACATAATTCACAATGTTCTTTAACTCTGAAGCTTCACACTTATTGGCTGATTCTCTACTATCTCCTTGCAATTTAGAGTTCTCTCATTCTGTTACTGTATTTTACCTAAAGTCTATGGATCTTCAGAATATGAAATAGCTATTATTTCCTCTCTATTATCAGCATTTGCCTTAATCCATCTCCTAAAATATGGACCAACTGCTCTGTATGTTTCCACGCACTTGTCTGTTCTTCTATCCTTCTGAAACGGTAAAATGTCAACTGCAAATCTGTCTGGTTATTCCTGGTTCCACCCCTACACCTGGAATGATGAATACCACAAGAGAGCATTCTGGAAAAATCCACTTTATAATAATTTATTTATAATGACCAAAGTCAACCTGGATAGTGTCTTTAAGGGTACTCTGAAATTATTCTGTCAATCAGAACTTCCTATAATAATCTATGCTCGTAACTACAGTCTTCCTCTCTGCTCAAAATCTCATGTCTTCCTCTTCACCACCCATTAATTTCATGACAGTGAAAGATGTAACAAAATGCCTCAAACTGTTGTTATCCCACCCAAACACATCGTTGAATATCACAAGTACCAGCTCTTATCACCTAGAGAAGCTTCTCTTCCAGCTCTGCCCACATCCCTGATGAGCTCCCTCATCTCCTCTGCAAGGATCCTTTCTGCCACTTATGTCTTCTCACCATACGATCTTCAAATTGCCCTTATTTTCTTAAGTCACTACTGTCCACGTCTGAAATATAGATTTTTTTGTTTTGTTTTGTTTTTATTTTGAAACAGAGTTTCATTATGTACTCTTCACTGCCCTAGAACACATAACCTATACAAGGCTGTCCTTGAAGTCACAGAAACCTGCCTGTTTCTACCTCCTCATAGTGCTGGGATTAAAGCTGTGTCTCACAGCCCCCATCAATCTCCTTGTAAGGAACATTATAATCCTATGCTTATACATTTATTCTTTTTTCTTCTCATTCTAAAAGTTACTATCCCATCAATTCTTTACCACCCCTCAGTTACCTATGTTTCTGCACTCTGAAGGTGATCCATAGGTTTTGCACTTAGCATGCTTTGGTATCAATGATTCTCTGCATCTCTGTGTAGCACGTCTTTTGGGGATAAGAAGCATAAGAATGGTTAACATTTAGAAATGCATAGATTTTAAAATGTGGACAAATCTTGTAATAATGAAAAGTGGTCTTGAGAAATATATATACCTATTGCACAAATTTCATGAAACAAGAGAAAGTATACTACTACCAATTAAATGAAGAGAAGAACTGAATTTTATCAGTGAGTTTAAATTTAAGTGAATTTTAAGTGAAATCTACCAATTGTTTTTGAGATGTTTAAAGTTTTATTTGTATTGAACTCTTCTGTTTTGACAGTTTGAAACTTCTTTTGAAGAATGGTAAGAAACTGTAATGATTCCTTTATTTTTCTCTAAAATGTTGAATTTTTGGTAATATGCAGTTTGCCAATTTTATATCAGAATAGGTGGAAAACTGAAAGTAGTATTTTACATGTTATTAAAACACTGAAGGAGTTGTAGGGGAGAGAAGGATGGGTGGATGGAATAGATTATTCACATAAGAATGAACATTGTAGAGAGGGGTTTATGGGGGATACAAAGTGAATAAAGTGTAATTAATAAAAATTTTAAAAAACAATAAAAATTATTAAAAACCTAAAAGAAAGATGAACATTGTTAGATGTCCTAGAATCTAGCAAAAAGTTGCTGCCAAGCAAGGAGAAAACCATTAATAAAGCAGCCGGCTGAGCTAGAACATCAAGGCAGTTGACATTGCCTGCTTTCTGTTCCCTGTATCAATGGCAGCCACGAGAGTGTTCCATACTTGTGTGGTGAATTTCTAGTGACAGAAGAAATGAGCTTTTATTTCCAAAACTTTCCACTTGAGGGCCTTGACCTGCCTGACTAATTCCTATCACAGAGCTTAAGGAGCCTCCAGGCAGTGTATGCTATACTCACCACAGTTGCCTGAGGCGGCAGATAATAACTGGAGCAAGCCACAAATAGATCAAAATGCCTGGGAAGAAAAGGGTTGGGAAAATGCATGTGATATTCAGAATGAGGTTTACAAAAACCTTTAAAGTTAGGGATTCCAGAAATAAGCAGATATGAAGGTTAGGAATAAGCTCAGAATATCTGACCATATCTCTCTTTTCTGGTTAAATTCTCTGTACTCCACGGGTGTAAGTAGCCTGGATAAACAGGACAGAGCGCCACAAAACAGACCAATTTTGCTGAGTTGGGCAGCTCTCTTCTCTTGTTTTCTCTTCTATTGTCTTGTCTTCTCATCTCATCTCTTCCCTCTTTTCTCTCTGCTCCTTTCCTCTTCTGTTCTTTTCTTTCCTTTCTTTTTGTTTGGTTCTAGATATTTCAGGTATCTGACATGAAACTGTAGTGAACCAGAGAAGTAGATTTCAAAGGTGCACCTGATACTTCACAAAACATTTAGATAAATTAGCAACAGCCAAGAGCAAATCCACTTCTGGGTAGCTTGATATCTATTTTACATTAAAATATTTAAAATGTTCACATCTATGAAAATTATGGTGTTTTAAAAGGAAAAAGAAAATACTTTCCCTCTTCATAAAAAATAAAATAAAATAAACAATGAACACAAACTGTCCAAGAGAAATCCCAGAATTTGTACTCAACTATTAAACAAAAATATTTAGTATCAGTTTGTTTTAAATATCTTCAATGAGACAACGGGAAGGTATAATAAGTTAAGCTTATTCATGAAGGTAATGACTCAACCAATATAGAGCTAAATTGGTAAAAAGAAATTATGAAATACTAACTAGAAAGAGATTTGAGTGCTAAGATGTAAAATAGCTGAAATTATAATCTTCACTGTAGTTGTCTAGGGAAGATTTGAATAGAGGCAAGAATCAGAAAACTAGATAGGTCAGCGGAGTCTGAGCAGTGAACATAAGGATGAAGAAAATCAAAAGTCCAAGCTTACTATAAGTCCATGCAAGTGTTATACATATGACTGGGAGGGCAGAGAATCACACAGAAAAAAGAATCTTTTTTTGGAAATTTTTTTCTGAAAAACTTCTAAATATGTTAAAATGTATACCTACATTTATTACACTCAGAGAAATTCAAGTACAATCAAATCAAAGAGATTAACACCAACAGGCAAATTAGTCAAATTATTTAAAGCCTGGGAAAAAGAGATCATTATTTAAGGAAAAATGGATTGGCCAAGTATAAGAAATCCCCAATCAGATGTTCCATCTACTTGTCACCTAAATCTTTGGAAGCCTGAAGACTTCAAAAGAAATCCTAAGCAAGTCTATGTCATCCAAAATTTCTTCAGTCTTTTAAAAGTATCTTTTAATAAGAATAAATTTAGACATTCCCAAATAAATTATACTGAAATGTGTGTATTATTAATAGACCTGTTACCTAAGAAATATTTAAGGAGATTTCTTTTGGGCTGAAACAAAAACAAAACAAAACAAAACAAAACAAAACAAAAGGCAGATTGTTTAACTGAAAGCCATATGAAGAAATAATGAAAAATAATGACTACAAAGATAAAATTCAGTATACTCTTTGACTTAGAATTGCTTTTATATATTATTTAAAAGACAAATAAAAAAATCTCAGAAATATAATTCTATAACTATAGCTGCCATATTTTATTGCTATTTATGTATTTTATGTGTTTTTTTTTTACATTTTTTTTCTGATGTAATTTTAAAGTTGTTTCTTAGTCACTGTCTTAGGTATTGCTATTTCAACAGAATCAAACTGCTCCAGTATGCTTACCTAGACCTTTACCCTCCATCATATATTATTACCACAACCAGTGACTTTATGTATTGAATGATCAGTAACACACATCTATAATTCTGAGACAACTTCCTGAACAGAACTCCAACAGCACAGGTTCTAAGATTGACAATCAATAAATGGGACCACATAAAACTAAAAATCTTCTGTAAACCAAAGGACATTCTCAACGGAACAAAATGACAGCCTAAAGAATAGGTAAAGATCCTCACCAACCCTCCATCTGAAAGAGAGCTAACATCCAGAATATATAAAAAATTCAAGAAGTTAAACACACAACAAACCAAGTAAACCAACTAAAAAATGGGGTACAGAGCTAAACAGAGAATTCTCACCAGAGGAATAATGAATGGCAGAGAAACACTTAAAGAGATGCTCAATGTTCTTAGTCTTCAGAGAAATGTAAACCAAAACAACACAGATTCTACCTGATACCAATCAGAATGACTAATACCAAAAACTAAAGGTCTGACACATTCTGGATAGGTTGGAGAGAAAGGAGAAGCCTCCTCCATTGCTGGTGAGAGTGCAACCTTGTACAACCACTTTGGAAATCAATCTAGTGCTTTCTCAGAAAATTAGAAATACAGCTACCTCAAGATCCAGCTATAACACTCCTAGGTATATATCCAAAAGATACTCAAAAAAGTACAACAAGGACATTTGTTCAAGTATGTTCATAGCAGCTTTATTGATAATAGCCAGAATCTGGAAACAACCTAGATGTTCCTCAACTGAAGAATGGATACAGAAGTTGTGGTGCATTTACACAATGGAATACTATTCAGCAATTAAAAACAAAGAAACCTAAGCAAAGGACAGTGTCAACAGAACAAAAGAACAGCCTACAGACTAGGAAAGGATCTTCACCAACCCTATATCTGACAGAGGGTTAATATCCAGAATATATAAAGAACTCAAGAACTTAAAAAGCAACAAATGAAGGAATCCAATTAAAAATGGGGTACAGAGCTAAACAGAGAATTCTCTGCAGAGGAATATAGAATGGCAGAGAAACACAGAAATGCTCAATGTCCTTAGTCATCAGGGAAATGCAAATCTAAACAACCCTGAGATTTCACCTTACACCCATCAGAACGACTAATATTAAAAAACAAACAAACAAATAAACAAAAAACTCAAGTGATAATGCATGCTGGAGAGCATGTGGAAAGGGGAACCATCCTCCATTGCTGGTGGAAATGTAAACTTTACAACCACTTTGGAAAGCAATCTGGAGCTTTCTTAGACAATTAGGAATAGTGCTATCTCTAGATCCAGCTATTACACTCCTAGGCATATATCCAAAAGATCTCAAGTACACAAAAAGGACATTTCCTCAACCACATTCATAGCAGCTTTATTCATAGTAGCCAGAACCTGGAAACAACCCAGATGCCCCTCAACAGAGGAATGGATACAAAAATTGTGGTACATTTGCACAATGGAACACTATTCAGCAATTAAAAACAAGGAAATGATGAAATTTGCAGCAAATGGTGGGATCTAGAAAAGATCATTCTGGGGGGCCAAGATGGCGGAGCCAGGAGAGCACTGTGTCTGAGAAGCAGGGCAGCATTCTCCATGCAGCAACCGGGAGACTGAACTCTGGGCCCTAAAACTACAGTGATCCATCATGTTTCCCAGGTGAGGGGAGGCTCCCACGGCGTGGGAATGGGTCGGGTCCACTCTTGGCTGCCCAGCCAGAACCCGGAAGAGATCCCAGGTAACACACTTTGGGTCTCTGGGCTGGAGCCGCAAGCCTGCGCGTCCCTATCACTTTCCCAGGCTGATCGGTGGGCACAAGGGTGCCTGAGATGGGGAGTCCCAGTCACAAGAAAACCCCACGGGGAAGCAAAGTTGCGAGTCTGATCACGGGTCACCCAGTCTTTCCCTGGAAGGTCTCATGGACCGCGGGTACCCGCCACCATCACAACTGAGCTCCCGCTGCGCGGAGAGCTGCGCGCCCAGCTCACCTGTACAGATGAGCTGCACACTCCAGTGCAACAGAGACTGAGAATCCCTGTCCTGTCCGGAGAGGGCCCCACAGGGAAGGAAGAAACCGTGCTGCTGGGGTCACCTAGGCTTTGCCTGGGGAAAGTCTAGCAGACGGCAGATCGCAAACAGGCAAGTACGCCCAGCCATCACAGATCCGGGCCCAAGCAGGGAGCACAGAGTTATTAGGAACCCAGCTCCCACAGACTAGCAGGCGGGCGCATGCTTCGCCAGCCCAGAGGCCTGCTTTGTACCAACTACTCCTTACAGACAGAACTGTGTGCCCCAAGACACCAGAGTCTTAGAGTCACTGTCTGGAGAAACCCTCACAAGGAACAAGGAACGAAGCAAAGGGGACAGACTTAGGCAACCCAGTATATCCCCGGAAAAGGTCCCACAGACTGACCCAAGCCAGGGAACTGCTGTGCCCCAGATAGCCTGCTGTTACCAGGAGAGCAGTACTCACCCGCCACAGATTACCTCTTGGGTTCTGGGGCACAGAGCCCCAACCTCAGACCTACAAAAGACCGGGAACCCTGAGATCAACCCCCAGATATTGCTCCAAGGGGCAACCAGTTATCCCT